GAGAGAGAGAGAGAGAGAGAGAGAGAGAGAGAGAGAGAGAGAGAGAGAGAGAGCGCAAAGGGCACGGACACTTTTCGAGACCGGCGAACGGTAAATGACACAAAGGCTGTAACATATTTCTTTTTCTGTAAATTTCGCAATGTGTTCAATACACGGAGAGAATTTTATGGTGGAGATGACTATAGAATTTTATAAGCCGAGCAATAGATCGATATATTCAGTAATTTACTATCCTTTTATTTCATATGTGCTATTTATATGTTTTAGGAACTGTGATGTGTTGTTCAAATTTTGCCGTGTTTTTAGCGAAATTTACTACAATCCTTATTCTGAATTCTCTTTTATCGATAGAAGTGCCTCTAAATATGATTGAAAGTTGGCTGGACACACTTTTATCGATAAAAGATAAAACTATATTCAGAATAAGGCTCTCCTTAGGCAAGATAGACCTTGCTGATGGTCTATTCCGACACTATCAGAAACACAGCAAAATCAAGAAGTATTTATATGAAAAAAGAAAAAGAACTGTATTATATTCTCTCCGTGTCGATCGATAAAAAAGAAATAAGAGGAAAATTTCTTTTTTATTAATTGAAACCTAATAAAATTTTATTAATTTTGTTAAAATCTATCGCAAAACTCGTCGAAAAAAAAAGCGTCGCAACCTCCGACCAGCTGACTGTATCTATTTGAGCATTACTCGAATCGCGAGTACATTGTAGCGAAAGTGCGAGCGAAAGTGAGAAGCGCGAAAGAAATATCGTTGTTTTATATCAAAGGGCTCGGTGGTGTGTTACATTGGACTCGATGAAATCGGCGATCGCGCGTTCCCATCTGTCGAAATCGTTGCGTAGGTGATAGCAACAATTATCTCTCCGATAACGCGAAGTACTCGGTCGAACGAATTTGTTAAAGTCCTGTCGAGAGAATGCACAACCGCGCGCGGCTGACAATTCCTGCACGCGAAAGTGCACATCGGCTGCCGAATTATTCATCGCGCATCGTCCAAGGTGCGCGTTGTGGACAGCTTATAGGCTGCGACGAGAGAGAGAGCGCCAACGGGCGGATTTTCCACGACGCCGGCGGGAGAGCTTGTTTCGCGGCAGATTGAAACTTTTCTCTTTCACCCTTTTT